AAAAAAAAAAAAAAAAAAAAAAAAAAAAAAAGCTTGAGAGTAAGTAAAATTCATGGGTTTGAATGAAGAGGCAGGGGTAGTGTACGTACTCGGTGCACACAGAACGGTGGGGTTTTTTTTTGTTTGTTGGTTTGGTTTTGTCTGGGGGCTTGGGGGTGGGGTAGGTTTGTGAGGGTTTGTTTTGATGTTGCATTTTTTTTAATAATCTTGGTCATTTTTCAACATCAGGTTAAATGACCGAAAGAGGCAATGTCACAAACCAAACAACATCATTGCTTCTGAAGTATTACAGAATTTTTTTCACTTCAGCTGCACAAATAAGATTAGGAAGGCAAACACAATACATCTGTATTCATTACTCTACACCTGGAAAAGAAATGCAAAGAGAATACCGGTCATATAAAAACAAGGCAACAGTGGACATTCTTTATAATTGAGAATTTTGTAAGGAAATCATGGCACATATAGAAAGTTTTTAAAAGAACCAGCTCAATTTACTGGCACGAGAAAATGTTGCTGTTTTCCCAATATTTCCAAGCTAGGAATTTATTTACCATATTTTAATTTTCTCACTCCCTACAGTTACAAAGGTTCAAAACTACTCCCAAAGGAAAATGTATACTAATCAGTCGTACACTTGAGTAGCAACCAGTAGCACGCTTTTTCAGAGGCAGCCTGCCAATTAAAATACAAATGGGACTACATCCAGTCTTGTACATTTGCAGTATAGATGGAATACAGAGGGTCACGAGGGGAGATAAATCAGCGTAATGTATTAAGTCACACACCACATCCCATTAACTGTGCTTGCCTGTAAGGAACAAGCCTTCTCTTTGCATTTGTTGAGATGTAGAAGAAAAACACCACAGGTGGCCAGATCCTTGTCCCACTGGCCCTAAATGCAAAACCACCTTTAGGGGTTTAAATTCCCCCGTTTTTTGGTTTGGTTTTTTTTTTTTTGAAAGTCCTAAGAAAATCAGCTTCTGCCAATAATAGGAAGGCTGATGTAAATTCAGATTTTCCTCTGAAATGGCATCTTCTGCCTTAAAGTCACATTCCCTGTGGTGGAGAAGGGGACCTCTGCATGCCGTCATGCATTCAGAGTACCTGGAAAACCAGCAGAATGCACAGGGCTTCTGACCAGGGAGCTCAGTATCTTTAAATCCCAGATATTTCTACAGATACAGACCAGCAGAAGAACATCCAACGTACTAAATCTTCTCAAAAGCTGCAGATTTCTACACATGTGCAGCACAGGAGGTCTGATGCTTCCAGGAAGCAGATGGATGTGTTGCACATGCTTGAATCAACAGCCGGTCTGTTTACAGTAAGCACGGTGCTTCCTGGAACTGAAGAGTTTAATATGTACATGGTGTTCAGTTTATTCATGTAGACACCCAAACCTAAAGCTTTCAGGGAAATCCATCACAGAAACATGACAGCTAAAGCAAAGCCTTGTGCTAGAAGGAGTTTTGGGGAATGTCATCTGCTTTGTGTTGTTACCCGATGACAGAAAGATCCCTCTCATTAGGTTTGGGATTTGCAGACATCAATTTCGGAATCTTTTTGGGGCCCATCAACATTGAACAATAAAGCTATCTAGGGAAAGCTGAAAGCAAGCTATAAAGCTTTATAGTACTTAGGATGTCCCTGCCACTGTTTTAGAAAGGCTCTTCTGAATAAAATCTCCCCGGATTTACTGTGATACTCCTCAGATATATGTTGGGTTTGTAGAGTCAAGTAGACATAATTCAGGGAAAGACCTATGCCAGCATTCAGAAAAGAGTGCATTAGCAAGCTCTCTCTTGGCAGGAAGCTAGGGACTACACAAGTGATTGTATGGCAGTATCTTCAAAAGTATTCAAGGTTACCTACCTCTAGTTCATCATGCTCTAGCACAAAGTGCTGCTTACGTGATTCCTCACAAATTTCATCAGTGCTAGAAAAGGATCGGAACATACAGATTCAACAGGAATCATTTGGATTCAGGTGCTTCGCATTAAACATCCTCCTTAAAATTTATGGCAGCTTTACCTCTTCAGGAGAAACCTATCTGAAAAATCTCAGTGTCCACTGCCAACATTAATCAATTCATTTCACAGAAAGTAAATGCAAAAATCAAAATACAATTCAAATTCACTTAATGTGGTGGATTTAAAAAAATATATTATTAATTAGTTGGGTTTTCTCTGTAATGCATTAGCTTTATGTAAGGCTTATTTGAACATCTTCAACTTTAAATTCAGTTTCTTGTGATGCGTGGAAATGTTCAGCTCATTCCTGTCCATCCAAAAAAAAAAAGACAAGCTGAGGGATTAAGTGACTTGCCCAGGGACACAGAGGAAACCTGAATCAAAGTAGAGAATTAAAAGCAGATCTCCTACAGTCTTGGCAGGTTCCTGTGCAGAGAATCAGCTTTCCTTATCTAACCACATCATCAGGCTACTGAGCATAAGACAAGACATCATGACAGCACCAGAACAGCAAAACATCTTTCTGCCTTGCCTTCCCCAGTATAATTCGCTTGTTTTTCTTCACTTGTATCAGACACACAGATGAATCTCAACTCAGCACAACACACAGCAATTACTAAATGAGAAGCAGTGGAGGGGTGCCAGACTTTTGGCTGCCCAGCCTCTAGCAGGCGAGTACATCAGCTGAGACTTCTGACTATTTGGGTACAGTTTTATTTGTTTGTGGACAGCATCTGCTGCATGTAATATTTTAAGGCCAAGCTTCTCAATTATGGAAACCTGAATAAGCAACAGGTGAAATAAATCCGATACTTTTTATCCTAGTCTCTAAGGATGCTTTTCCAAATCAGTAAAGCCCCACATGATTTGAGATAAATGAGAAAGGTTGACAGGTGCTGGTCAGCAGAAGTTCAAGCCCACAGTGGCAGAGATGCTGGGGATGAGACCAGCAAACATTGGCAGAGTTCACACTAGTATCATCTACCATAGACCCCGCTCCAGCTGACCATATTATTCTTCTGCTGTCACGATAATCTGGTTTATCTGCATTACAAAACCCTAAAATTAATAGAAAAATAGAACCAGACAGGCACACAGATGTGTATCCTTCAATAATGTATAAATTGACAAGCCAAAATACTTGAAATAGCAAAACCTCTATACACACACACACAAAAATGTTAGGCAAACCTTAGATTAAACTGTACTTATGCAACAGAATCAGCATGCTGGCAATTAAATGGCTTTCTGCTTGAAAAAGTAATTTGTCATCTCATGCAATTAAATGCAAAACCATTAATATTAATATTCTATAACAATATTTATGCTGATAAAATTTTAAATCATCCACTGCCCAAGAGTTTCAAAAACAAGCTAAATCAGAAAATGCTCAGGCTAACCACAGGTAGCCCAGCAAGTTTTACAAACTAATTAAAATAAACATGATTTAAGAGATGGAGCTTGACTAGCAAGCAAGGGTATTTTTTTTTAAATAATTGAAATCTTTTAATGTTTAATTTTTAAAATTGCTTCTAGCTGACTTAAATGAATATACTGCTGTGAAATCCAGCTCTTCGGAGACCCTACAAAGGAAAGTGCAGGGCCGGAATTTCACTTCCTCAGAATGAATTAAGTACAGATTTTTCAAAGCTCTTTTCTCAGTGAGGAAGAGTTGGGTTTGCAAATGCATCTCCCACACAATGGCTGCCACTTACAGCCAAGATTTTAATCTCCAATTTTCTGACCTTTCAAGAAAATCTGGTGCTAGCTGTGGGTGTTTCCTTTTGTTGTACATTCGGATAGTAACACCCGAAGGTGCCAGGTGTCCTGCATGGGGTCAAAGATGTCCTCTGCCCCAAAGGTTTTATGGTCTTAACACCTATGATTTTGGGCTGTTCTTTATAAAAAGATCTGTATGTGTTTGAAATTCTTCCTACACCAGACTTTCCCCATTCATATCTTATATATCTGCTAAACATGTCCAAGCTATGATTCCTTTTCTTCTAAACCTCCTTTTGTGACATTTTTATTTTTCCATTCTTGTTTGTGTCTATCACACCTTTGTAAAACAGGCACATATTTGAGAAGAAGAAAAATCTGAACTATATAGTCACTGCCTCGCTATGTCTTTTTCTCTCCTTCCTATGAATATTAAAGTAATGGAAAATGAAAAGCTCTGACAGTAACCAGCAAATACTGCCATTTGTGTGCACAGCTGTGAGCATATTTAAAGTAATGCAGAAGGGGCTCACAGCTACCAAGTGCACACAAAGATGTGGCCAAGTGCCACTTGGTGCTCGCAGAAGGGATACACTGGGCATGGGTGAGGGGAAAGGAGCAGCTGCCTGATGTCCCCTAGGTATTCCCTCCCCCCCTCAATCATTCTCATCGCAATGAGTCATGATGAACATGCAAAATATACAAATCAAGGCTGTGATTAATAAGTGTGAGTAATCTGTTGCAGCAGATGCCTGTATTCATTTGATGGATCCTTTTCCTCAAGGCTTCAGTTCATTTGGTTTCCAACTGCCCATCGTAGTCCCTGCCACGGAGGTTAAAAATCTTCCCTTCTTCTTAAGATCCCCAGTGAGGCTCACGGTGCAAAGCAGGTTCTCTCCACCCACCACCACCCTTTTTGCAGTGCGAAGGGGTGGTTAACCAGGCAGGAGCCCTCCTCCCGGGGATGGCAGTGACCTGCTCCCTCCCAGCCCCGCAGTGACTCACCGAGTCCTTGGCTAAAGAGCTGTAACTGGAGCAAGAGCACCATGACCGATCATCCCCGCGACAAAACAGCATCAGTTCTGACAATTTTGTTAAAGAAACTTGTGAAAGTATAAATACATTTCTGGGTGTGCCGTCAGAACTCCACCTACCCGGGATCATCTGAGATGGTCACAAACCCATCCGGGAGCGGATGGCAAGCGTAGGGGATGAACGCTGTACGAAAATCCTGTGTGGGGCACACAGAGGTGGAAAATGAACGTGGCACAGGGACTGAAGTAAAGCAAATAGATGGAGCGCACTCGATGAAGCTGCCAAAGGCTGACTCTCAGTGCTGCAACAATTGAAAGCCCATGAGATGGCTCCACCAAGCCGGAGTGAATGGAAAATATAACTTAATAGGAAAGCTACTCATAGACATTAGTATAATATGTAACTGGTGACATTAATATATGAAGGGAGCTTTTTCTACGCTGAATTCAGGTTGTTTTAGAACTCCTATCAATACATTTGATACGATTTCAGTGGATTCAGAACAATTTCCCTCTACGAGAGTCTGACTTTGGGGAAGCTGTAATAATTTCTGCAGTCCTGTCACCCAGTCAGGGCAAATAACAGTTTGCACTGATTCGATGCACCATAACAATTCATGACAGTACAGAGCAGCTGCTTATTTTATTACACAACGTGGATAAAACATCAATACATTTTCACTGAATTTGCTGAAGTTTCATAAGGGTGTGTTTTCACAGCCTCTGTGTGGAGGTAGGAGATAGTGCTTTGAAAGTATTTTCATTGTTCTTGCGAGCTGGACAGGATTTAGAGTTTATTCTACTATGGTTTCTAAAGCAGCATTATTCTGTTGTATTTTGCCCCCTCTTCCTGTGTACAGTGCAAAAGTCTGTTTTCTTATATATCTGTAAAAACAATTCAAATACCTGTGAGTAACCACTGCACTGTCCCAAATGCTACCACAGCTACACTGAAAGGATTATTGCTGCTATTTATACTCTTATTATTGGAACACTGAAGATACTGATGTGATTATCTCTTCATGAAGACAACCTTACTACTAAGACCATGGTCTTAAGACCATGAATGGCTGATAAACTGGGGAGGAAGCAAGGAATTTTTACCCTCTTGCAAGCAAAGAAGTTCACCATCCTTGCAATCCTCACATACAGACTGTCCATAAAAGCAAATCTCAGCTCCTGAGGAATTGCCAGTGAGTGTAGCAATAACTTAACATTTGGAGCAACACATTCATTTTGTGACTAAAGAAAGAGCAGAATGCTGTACTGCCAAAATTAGAAGCAAGTAAACTGCACTGACCTAAATTTATCCTCAACTATATCTCTGGAAGGTACCCAGCTTGCTAAGACCTACAGTTCCCTAAGGGTAGTTTGTCAAAAGGGATGTTGGGGGATCACAAAGGGCTATGCCACACACGGAGAAGACTGGGTATACTATTAAAAAAAAAAAAAAAAAAAAAAAATTACTCCCCTATTCAATTACAAATATATTGTTTTTAGCAAAAGCATCATCAGACACAAAATCAAATCTGCTGGGTATTTATTTGCTATCCCTATAAAGTAGCATAATGAAATCACCCAAGTGAGAGAGTGAGCACGTAATGGTGTCTACACTAGCTTCTAGTTAACGCACAGTTTCAGTGATGAATAAAAGTGACCGGTTTAAAACTGTGTTAGTTTAGAAGCAAGAGATATAAGACATTGTAATTATTCCTTCTAGCCAGCAACACCAATTATTTGTTGCCTCCTCCAACCAACCTTTTTAAGCACTGTTGCAGGTTTGCAAGGCATGTAGACTACACTCTACCCAAAGAAGACTTTGAAAATTGCCACCCCCTCATTTTTATTTTTTTTCATAAAGACAAATATCTTGCATAAAAGTAAAAATTCCTCAATATGTTCATGAGGCTGAAAAGTCTTAAAGGAAACATACTTGGAATTAAGTCTATTTTGATTAAAAACAAAAAACAAAAAACAAACAAAAAAACCAAACAAACAAACAAAAAAACCAACAAAACTTTCCAAATTCTGCTCTGGAATTTGAGCATTCTGCATGGATTATTTCATCCATGCTTTTTCTTCTTGTCATTCTGTTATTTCATGACAAGCAGTGGTAGTGCATGATTTAACATGGTTTAAAGGTTAATCTGAAGAAAAATTACAAATAAGTCTTACTGAATACATTAAGGAAAGTTACAAATACATCTTACTGAAATGTTGCATCCTCTTCTAAAAATCAAAACATCCTCTGCGTTGAAACAGTCTGAAGCTTTATATCACAGTCAGTAGACACTGACTCTACTTAGATATGTGGGTTTTTCTCTCGATACAAATGATGGTGCTGAATTATCAGAAGATAGTTTGGGTTGTGGGAAACATGTTTCCTATGTTTTTTTTAGATTCTTGCCAAACTGCTAAGAGTGATTAATGTTTTCTTTCCCTCTGTCAAGAGAATGCATATTTTAAACTATCACATCATTGCTCTAAATATATGGCACAATTCCACAGTGATGCTTCCAGTGTCCCACTCAATTACCTCGAATAGTTGTTTAAGGATACTTGGTTCATAAAACTGACAGATGTATTGGCAGAAATATAAAGAAGTACATACTGTATTTCTCTCACAGATATTCAGCCATATACCCCCTTGTAGTCCAGCTATGGCACCATCCACATCCCAGAGGAGATGTCACGTGCTTTTCTAAAGAGTCACATTCACTCACACAACTTTCTCTAGCCTGAGAAAACAAACAAAAAAGCTCTGCGAAGAGGTGTCGCCAATGTCCACTGATTACTGGGTATTGATAGTGAAACAGTGTGGTAACTGCCCAGAGACACTGATGTCCAGATGTTCTCGGTTCGTACAAAGGAATGGATATTCTGTCCAGTCTCAGGGTGTTAGCTTTTATTCATATCAGCCAACACTTGTGGCACTTCTAAGTTTTGGATAACTTCAGTGTAAAAATCAAAAAGAAATCCTGGTTCTTGCAGCTGAGCCCCACTTGATCTGTGAAATTCCACACCTGCAGATCTTCTGGATAATCTAAGCAGAGTTTCTAATTTCCAATGGTAAAAGAGCTCTTTGCCGTGATTTCGGCTTTCCCAAGAATGACTGAGGTGCTGAACAGCAACAGCCCTTGAGTACGCATGCTTGCCTTGACTGGTTCTTGAGGAAGAGCTCCTCAAATTCAGAAGTTTTTGTTCAAAGCCTGGTTTTGCTTGTTACAGGAGGAAAAAAAGAAAAGCAGAAAGATTTGATTCTATGTGACTATCATGGCATTCACAGCCAGGCAGTTTGAGCACAAAATTTGACTCGGAAAGGTTTTTCCTTAAAGGGAAGTGATTGAACAATTCAAGTATTCTTACTAACCAAGCATGGTTTCCTTCTTTCTTTAGTTAGGTCATCTGTGCTTTCAAGAGCTGTTTCTGCACCTTGGCCTCTCCCTCTTCAAGGCTCTCATATCTCAAACACAAGAGCCCTAGACAGGCAAGCAGAGCCACAGCCCCATGGGGGAAGACAGACAAGAAATAGCAACTTTTCAGGTGAAACTGGGAGAAGAATAACTGAGGTGAAGCAGTTCCTGCCAAGATGAAGTGACAACCCCATACATTTTTGTGGTCTTTGCATTGTGTCAAGTGTAACCTTCAATTCAACATTGCCTATAAAGCTCAAAAAAAACCAACAAAAAAAGCAAAGACGGATGCAAATAGACTGTCTCTGGGTGGAGGGGGCCATCAGCAAAACCAGACTGCAGTTGCCAGTGGTGCTCTAAAGGAGTAAAGGGTTGCTTCCACCACCAGTATATGAGCTCTGGCTACAGCATCAGACATACAAGCAGAATCAAGGGCCAGACTGCCAATAACTCGGATGTTGCAGCCCTGCAATGGGGGGCAAAGTTATTTGATACAAGATTCAGCAGGGTGTCCTTGCCTTGACCTCCCTTGTCACTTTACATGTCCTCATTAAGTCAGCAGCAGGAAGCTAAAAGGGACCAGGACAGGCACAAATCTGATCTAGGCAGAAGCTCAGAGAGGACTTTCAGTTAAGTAATTTTCTCCACTTTGTTAAAGTTTCTTATTCAATACAAAGAGGGGGAAAAATGTTGCTTTTCTGATTCTTTATCACTATCACATAATAGCATTAGTGAACTTAGCATATATTCTAGTGTCTTGATATTATTATTTTTTTGTATAATGCTGGGAAAGTGGCCAAGGCTTAAATAAAAATCTTACCTTGGCTCTCAAGCTTAGAAGGCTTTTGAATTAATACAACACAGATAAGAGGGGTGGTTTTTGGCTCTCCTACCTGAAATCAAGCTTAAACTCCAACATATGTTTCTATTAGTTGCAAAAGCACTATAGTCTTGTCACATAACTTCATGAAGTCAGGCAGGTGCCTCAGGTAACAGAATGGCATCTTTTTGTACAAACTTTCATATCATAAACAGCCATTTTTGATACCATCACAGTCCATAGCTAAGTATAAGAGAAGGAAGCTAATGAGTCTCCTTTGCTTCTAGTGCCCATTATAGCAAAACAGTCAGAACAGAACCTGCCCACACCAGTAAAAGTTCTTCCAGCCAGTTTCTCCTGGACTTGGCTACAAAATACAATTCGCTGCCTGCGACCCCTACGACTACCATCAGGTCACTGTCTCCTGAGTTTCCCACAAGTACCAAAGCTTCCACCAGTGCCTCCGAACCCCATCCCAAGGCAACTTCTGCTCCAAGCTCAGGGTCTACTGTTGTCTGGATTCAATTTCCCTTTGCATAGCTCTTCTACACACCAGGATTTCATGGTTTTTTTCCCCTTTCTCTCACTTTCTTGAGTGCTGGAGGAATTGAGGCAGAAAGCCATATTGAGACGATCACCTTTCAAATGCAACAATATGAGTAATTCAGAAAGCAGCGTCTCCTATCTTGCTGGGTATGATGTTCCCAGGTGCCGAGTCCCTGGAAGCCGCAGGAACACCACTCTTGGCCCAGATGAGGGCTGCATGTATCAGCCTAAACTATTTTGAAAACATAAACACCTACTTTGGTACCTCAGGAAGTACCAACTTAATTTTAAAATCTAAGGATTTACACACGCAGGAGCAGAGCACACAAACGTCAACTACATTGATTTAATCTGCTCAATCTGATGAGGGGAGAGAGAAAATGAGCTGGACTTGAGGGAAGGCAATCCCACAGCCAAGGCTGTATCAAGACACACCAAGCGAGATGAAGACCCTCACACTCTGACTAGAAAAGCCACCTCCACGGCAGCCCCTTGTGTGTGAACTGGAGGTAGGGAAGGAGGTCACTCCTTCCTGGGACTGTTTCTTCCCACTCCCCTGGCCTCTCCATGGGGCAGAGCTCGATCTTACAAGACTTGTTTTCCAGGAGACATTAGCCTGTCCCACAGTGCAGCTGGTCCAGTTGAAACCATCTTTGCTCCTATGAAGCAGAAATGTGCCCGTTTCTCTGCAAATCTGTGTAAAAATCTATGAGGAACTTGTACTTGCTCTCCCAGCATCAACCCTGCTCCTACTGCAGACCCTCGGGGATCTGCCCACCAACTCTTTGTGGCAGAAGAGGGCAAAACCAGGATCCGGTAATTTATAAACCAGACCAAAAAACCCCAACTGTGAATACCAACTACAAATAGAGTGTCAAGTCCTGCTGTAAGCTCACAATATAGCCAAACTAAAAATAGCAATACGACAAGACAAAGCAGTGCAGCACTGGTGTCGATATGAACAGCAATGTCAAGAGTATGAATATAGAAAAGAATGAGACTTTGCCACAGTAATTATCTACCTAACACAGAACAATGTGTAATAAATATAGAAACCTTATTGCCAAAAAGGCTCCTATTCCCACAGCCACATTAAAAGAAATGTAAAAAACCCCAGAGAAATTAAACTATAGAAGGAAAAATATACTTTTTCTTTTCTTTTTTTTTTTTTTTTTCACAGATATAGCGGTATTTTTCTGGTTTGCCTCCTATTATATGGCACATTCATTTTCTCGAGAGGTCTGATCAGAATGCATCTAAGGCTGCCCATCTCCTGCATATGTGGTCAAAAGGTATAGCAGCACAAGCGGGATTATTTGCTCACATAACGCAATGGGACTCAACAAGAACTTAAGAGACTGAACAAACACTGTAAAGATCAGGAAAAAATAAACCATCACCTCCTGCTCATGCCGGCTGATTGCTGTATTCCTCATACACAATTCCCACCTCATTCTTACTGGCTTTATTATAGAGCAATCTGGGGACCTACACTTAGGAGTAGGTCACAAATGAGTAAATTCACCCAAACCTGAGCAAAACGGTTATCTCCCAGTGCCGGATACTCCTTCTGTAACAGCCAGTAACCAGAGAATGCTTTCAGCATTGGAAGTGGGCAGCACTATCAGACCAAACCTGAGTTCCTGGGCTACACATGGCTGGATCGCCTCCCTAGACCAGTGCAGCAAGGCAGGTGCCTTATTCGTGGCAAGCACTCCTTTCTAAATCTTTTTAGCAGGCAGGCTTGAACGACGTGAAGCATCCATAAACACAACTCAACATGCTTGGTACCAAACACTGCAGCCCTGGCCAACACATACGGTGTGGGTTTTGGTTATATTATAAATTCCTCTATAGAACAAAAAAAAGTATAGATCTAAAATCTGCTTTAACTGCTCACTTAAAAATCATGCTGGTTTGGAATTTCACCAGTTATTTGGTGGCTGCCTGTGTATTAGGAAATCTCAGAGATAACTGGTTATTCTTTTAGATGATAAACCGATCAAGTTAAATATTGAAAAATAATTGAGAAGTTAAACACAAACAGATTTGACAAGGTGTAGATAAAGATGTATAATCCGAGGGAACCATGGTGCTTCCTTTGCCAGATGCAGATAATGACTATAAATGTTTGCTACCTTTAAACTTGTATTTTACACCATACAAAAGGACTTTGTCTTATTTTTTCTTCATTCAATTACTTGATGTCACACGGCATTTCTTTCTTTTTTTTTTTCTTGAAGAACCAAGACACAACACAACGTGAATTCCTCTGTCTGAAAGCTCAGAATCTCACGGAGAAAAATAAGCATTTACTTACGACCAGAGAGAGTTTCTTCCTTGTGTGATGACTCCAGTGAATTTTGTTAGCCTTCGAGCATCTACTTCAATCCATTGATATGGGTCATTTCTTCCCGCACACCAAGCACCATCATAAAAATCATTTTCGTTAACACCTGCCTGAAAAGAAGGCAAAACTGTCTTCATAAATCAGAACCAAGATATTGAAGGTCTTTCATGGGAAAAAGAAAAGAAAACATGAAGTCATTATTCATTCCACTTACTCCTTTGGCTCTCTTTTAAGACCCTTGAGACTGTCATTCCCAACAGCTATATGGAGCAACCAAAATATTTTCTTACTGAAGGCAGGGAGGGAAATTGTGCAGAGTCCCTTCAAAAAACTAAGAACTGTTACATATAAAACTTACGTTAGAGTGAGCGAGCACCAACAGAGCTTCAGTTCAGTCCACCTGTCTGTGACCTGATAGAACCTTTTTCCAGAACAAATTATCCACAAGTTTTTCAGAGTTATGGAAGTCCTAAAAAGCCATCCCCAACCCATGTAAGTAATGATCAGTGCTGGAGCAATCTTCCTTCTCCTGGAAGCAGTAAAGGAGAGTGTAGGGCATCTGGAACCTGCAATACCATTTCCCACCAATTTTCAATCCCAGAACTCTCAGTATTCATCACTAGGGATATTCAAGCCGTAAGCAAATTAATATCAAAGGTCAAAAATTTAGGAATGCCCAGCTGCACTCCTACTCGTGTACCAATCTATATCCCAGTTTATGTTGGCAAGAACACCACAAACAACCTTCTCAACATTTCAGAGAAATAGCTGCAAGGCATTTTGAGCAAGCTGTATTCTAAATACATCTGAAATAGCATTTAAAGAAACATAGCATTCCAGGTCTTCAGATATTTATCTTGTCACTAAAGCCCAGGAAATGTTTGGCACCAAGCTGGCTACTGCCATAAAGAGCACAGAAGCTTTTCCATATCGTCCTCTGAGGCCATGTGTATTTTTATGATATTTCATCTGTATTTAATGTGGATTTACCATTGTCATCCATGCAATTCCAAGAATGAATATCCTTAAATATTTCACAAATATAAATGAAAAGTCTAGAAAACTGTAAGTTTACATTAAAGACAGATCTTAAAAGCTCTGGTACACAGCTATTACCTGTTTGGTGGTATATTTTTGATTGGTTGTGTGTATATACAAAATGTCAGTGAAGGACCCAAGAATACAACTCCCAGCTAAATTTCCTGAATTATCCCTCAGGTTCCCACTGAGCAGTATTAGCAGATATTACAGTCGTAGCTGGGTTACAGTGGCAGAGATTGACAGGTCTGTCTAGCTTCATTTTTACAGAAGGTTTCTACCAAAATGACACTGGCTGGGTCTAGTGCACAAACAGAAGACGCAGTTGTTAATCCTTTTTCCCGGTGCGACTCTGGTGGCACCTGAAGGAAGTGCTGCACAACAACTTAATTTATTCCTAAATTTAATTGGTAAAACTTCTTGTTTTCTCGGGTGTTCAAATGTGGGAGAGGGCCGCTTAAAATTACTTGTTTTCCTGCAACTACCAAATTTACATTAAGCCACCTACTTCTGTGTATTAACTCTGGTATTTTAAAGTGAAGTTTGTATAAAAATCAAGTTACAAGATACAGAGAAAGACTATTAACAATGGAAGATAAATTCTTCAAGGACAATTGAACGATGGGAAAACGTAAGAATATAAATATGATCACTGACCTGAGTTATAACCTTTTACAAGAAAAGGTTGCAATGCATTTTAAAATAAGATGGAATTTGAAGTAGCCTTAGGGTTTAAAACCAATGCTTGACAGGAAGCGTTAAGATCTCCAGAGCACCTTGAACCAGCATCATGCTAATCCCCTTCACACTGATGAAATTCCACCAATTTCTGCAGATCAAGGACCCAGATCTTTCATTACTTCAGCAGACACCTTTGGTCCTCATTCAGACTGAGGATATTTCCCACTGGTGCGATGCTCATCAGGGTGTAAAGCTCTCCTCTACGTTACAGTGAGAAGAGGGAAGCAGAGAAAAAGGAGCTTATTTGAAAAAAAAAACCAAACCAAAACACCAACCTAAATTACATAATGCTCCATGGTTTCAACTGGACTAAGCAAGTGTTTGAGTTGTATAGCAAATATGGGGGGTCTAAAGGACATGTTTACAGTTACACACAAAATACTATTGCCTTAAATAGGGACAAAGAGAACATAACAGAAAAAAAAAAACGTGCTGTTATTTCTTCCTGCTTTCTTATTTTCTGACATCAGTTTCTCTGAAGCAAAAAGAATATTTTTACCAGGTAAAAAGAAGCAGATGTCTGCATATAACTACCACAGAGTACTACCTGGGGGGGAAAAAAAAAAAAAAAAAAGTTTAATCAATTAGAAGTTCTTATTAGAAATATTTCAAAGGAAAAGACTTCCAATAAGTTTACACTGAAATGTCTCTTTTCAAGCTTCAAGTCTGTATTTTTGCTTGAGGCACTTGAGGTTTTGAATTTGCCCTATAGCCACTTCAAAATATTGTTTCTATGAAAAACCTTTATAAACTTAATCAAATATTTAGTAGTTAAAATTACAATCCAGGAACGAAAATTTTTCCCAAGAAAATGAAGGATGGGAACAATTATTGTCAGATATTCAATCAAATAATAGAGATCAAGACACCTTTTCTCAGTAAGATGTTTACTTGAATTAAAAAACTTTATATTGAATTAACAGATATAATTCATTCAAGTTATAACATACATAACTTTAAGCTATATATTTTAAACACATTGTCTTCATAAGTAGAAGAGTGAAGCTGCTAATGAAAACTGAAAGGACTAGGTCTTAAGAAAACCCTTTTTTCCTTCACTGAATTTTTAGAACAACTCAAAGTGTAACCCAGTTCATATTTCACTTGCGGCCAAATGCAAAAATATTTCTCAACATGTAGTGTCTTACAAAGAAATACCTTTTTGATGCCTTTTTTTCCTGTGACTCCTGAATAAGTTATCTATAGATGGGAGTGTTTAAAATTGTAATTCAAATAAAAGAAATCAACGGCTTATTATGTACCCAGAAACTAAAATGAAGGGAAACCAACAGGTTACGGTTCCTTTACAAACAATATGACTTGTGATTTTAATTCATGTTTCTCTTTTGAGTAAAGAGATGTATAACGCAGAATAAACACTTTCTCACATTACCACTGTTGCAAAAGTCTTATTCTATAATGAGGAGAAAGATATTACTGCTAAATGAATTCAAATGAAGGAAGAAATTTCAGCCTTCTGCCACAAGTCAGCTGGAGCAGCAGTAAAAATATACCTAATATCAAACCACTTCTCCTTAAATTCTTTTCCATTCCTCGTAGGGTGATCGCAAACATTATTTTAACATTGGAAGTTTGGGAGGGGAGAAAAAAAAAAAAAAAGCAGCATTACTCATCACAGATATTTATAGCAACCACTGCCAGTAGAGAAGAATTAAGCAAACAGGTTAAAAGCAGAACTTTAATAATTTTGTCTTTTGCTTGTGTTTTGATAACGGAGCTTTTCAAAAGGAACTAGTGAAACAAAGAACTGAAAAGACAAAAAGCAATACATCCTGCTTGTTTGCATACACGATTGCATTACTTGGTTAATCTTCAGTGTTGTTTGGAATTCTCCAACCAGGAAAATGAGGAAGCAGAAGAACCATAACCTGACTAATTATTTCAGGTTTTAACCACTGTTAATTATTGTACAAGTGACAAATACTAATGACTTTTACCCCTGAAGGCAGAGCGCCTCAGTGAATATTGTTTTATGCTATGATTTTCCTGATGAGGTTGAATTACTACTGGTTGTGGCACTATTGCAATTGCAAGCTAGATCTCCAATATACAGGGCTCTAGTAGCATTGCTCCTGCCCTCGAGAGGTCCCAGGACTGGGTCGTACAGGAGGTCATACAGGACTGGGAGCAAAATCAGGTCCTGCACAGCCCAAGGTCACAAGAGAAGCAGATTCTAGAAGGTCTTATCCAGTCCTGCTAAGCCTGTCCTTCTTTGGAATAAAGCATATACCGACTTATTTCATACGCTTCAAGTGATCTAAAAAGAAAATAAAATAACCCTCAGAAGCCTTTGAAAACCTTCATTATTCTGCAAATTCCCTGTGAATTGAAGCAGTGCCAGTTACCTGGGGTGAGCTCTAAGCTTCTCGGCTAACTTTGCATCAGATGATGAGGTTGAGCAGAATGTAGATTTTTGTCTTATTTGGCGGAGGAAAACGATAGTCACATGAATACTGTGATGGCATTGCGGTGATACCCAGACCATGCCACAGGGGCAGCAGCCCATAAGATTGCTCATCACCATACATATAGCATAGTGTTCTGGTGAAACTTCAGCAGCAACATCAGAGTCTCTCTGACTTGGGCCAAGGGGTTTTCTTCCTGCGCAGTACTAAACAGCATGAAAACACAGCCGCATAAATACCACTGCCTTTTGCCTTCCCCCAGCATGCTGCAACCTAACGGCTGGACTAGATGATCTTCAAGGTCCTTTCCAACCTAGTTGATCTGTATGATTCTGTGAGCCTGCCCTCTTGAGCAGCAAAGAGAAATCACCAGGGTCCTCGTTACCCATCTCAAGGGAAACCTGATCACTCTTTACAACTCCTGAAAGGAGGTTGTAGCAACGTGGGTGTTGGTCTCTTCTCCCAAGTAACAAGAGATAGGACTAGAGAAAATGGCATCAGGTTGCTCCAGAGAAGGTTTAAATGGAGTTATTAGGAAAAATTTCTTCACAGGAAGGGTTGTCAAGCATTGCAACAGGCTGCCCAGGGAAGCGGTGGAGTCACCATCCCTGTAGGTATCTAAAAGACATGCAGATGTGATGCTTAAAGGACATGGTTCAGTGGTGGACTTGTCAGTGCTAGCTTAATAGTTGGACTAAATGACCTTAAAGGTCTTTTCCAACCTAAATGATTCTATGATCTGACACGTCAGTCCCCCGTAGTACCTACTCTTTGTTATAAGCATATATATTTTAAAAGCTACTGAAATTCAGAAGTCTTCATGCAAATTAAAATTAACCACCAAAGCCAAGTGACAGGGAAGAGATCTGCAAATTCTAAGTGGCTTTGATAAATTTGAAAGTGCTACTAATTTTAAACTAATCCCAAAGAAACCGCATCTAAAGAAAAATAAGTGCACGCCCATACTTTTCATGCTGCCAGTCATCGTGGTAACACTAAGTGGTCAGGTGTCTTGGGGAATTACTGCATCTATATTATACAGATAAGCTTTCAGTAGGGGTAAAAGCTTTTGATTTGAGGGTTACTATTTATCTTTATTAGAGGTAAAGGAGTAGCAGAGAAACAGGCCTACATTTAAACAAGAAAAGTAAGCCAGAGAAGTCACTTTACTATAAGCCAGATATTGGTTTATTTGTATATGAACATCCCCCAGTCCTGGGGTCAGGTAAGTCCTTATAGCAGAAAAGAGGGAAAAAAAGCTTTCGGATAATTATGAGAATCAATCCATGCAGAATTTTTAAAGCTCAGGAACACTAAAATATTATCAAGCAAAAAAAAAAAAAAAAAAAAAAAAAGGCACCATTTTTGAATGAAGAAGAGCAAAAACCCAAATTGTGCTGAACAGAAGGTCTGTTCACCTGAGTCTCCGTGCAGCACTCCAGGGAGGGCACAACCACCCCTGTGCCGCAGAGGTGGGGAGTTTATTCTCACAATAAATACAAGGGCATGGTGGGATGGGAGAAGTGCTGGCTCCAAGGTCCTACAAGACAGGACACGGCAAAAAACAAACGTGGTGTCACCCGAGCCACAGGAGCTTTCAAGAAGGAAAAGCTGAGTGGCACCTCACTTCTCCTTACTTCCCAGAAAAGATTGTCTCCTTAGCTTCTGCTGGAAGCTCTGGACTGTGCTTAGGGGAAACATCCATAGGTAAGGCTCTTACACTTCTCTATTTATTTTAATGCAGTGTTACTGGTGATGACAGGACATCTCGTTTAGAGCAGGAGTCTGTCCTTGATTTTAAATAAACTGGACTTCAACACCAGCATGAAAGATGAGGAACCACAACCAACAGAGAATTCACAGTCCTTGGTCTAATGCCACCGTATAAACAAATCTGCGGTAAAATAATTAAACATTCCTATAAAACCTATCTGAATATCATCTGCATGCCATTTTTGTGTTCATGTGTTGGTTTTGGTTTTTTTTTCCTAGCAGAGAAAAATGAAGAAGCAAACTACCTCAGATTAAAAAAAGAAATGAAAGATGAAGGCTGCAGGTGACACTCAGATCTCAAAACAAATTCAGTATGAAGGCTGTAGATAAGGCCTCACATTGCACCCAGCCTGCTGCACCTGCACACGAGTTTGGAGGAGACCATTCCTACCTCTGTGCTGTGTCTTGCTATTCACCTCCAGCTGGCTCTGCTCTTTATGTAGCTGCATAGCAAAGTGGTTTACTGAGCAAAGGGGAAAAAAAAAAAAAAAAAAAGGTGTTTGGTTCACAGAGCTGTTTGTACAGAAACACTGGAAGAATCTAAAGTAAAGGGGGGCAGTGGGATTTTAACCTAAGAGTTGTCTCTCCTTCCTGCAGCTGCCCACCATTACACTGCAGTGGACACCATCTGAAATTGCACTGCTGATTAGAGCTCAGTCTTCCTAGTCCCAAATTTTAGTTCATTAATTAACAAACCCCTTCAGCTGGAGGAAAAAAAAAATATCTAAGGGAGGGTCTAATAATAAAAGGTAACTAATAAATAAACTTTAGAGATTTTTCACTGTTGACTTGGTGTTAATATCCTGTTTATGAGTTTGAGTTGTACTCTATTATGCAAAAGTAGTATTTTGTTCATGGAATAGACTGTAATTCAGAAAACAGCACTGATAAAGCAGAAAATACAAAGAATGGGAAAACAGAATTTGGTCCTGCAAAGCACCTAAGCACATCTTTAATATTAAAGAAATAAAGCTAAACCAGATTGTGGGCTAGTGACTTCTGAATGAAAGCATTTTTTGGTGGTATAATCATTGCCTCTGAAAAACTGCCTTGGGGCAAGTGCTTTACTTGAAACCACATTTCTAATTAACCATTGTCATTAACTACAGGCAAACAACAACAACAAAAAAGCAAGTTGCTGTGTGAGCTTCCTTCCAGGCTGATTGTTAAGGGAGCTGGGACGGGAGCAGCTCTGGGCTGCTCCTACCTTTGCTTCCTCATAGAAGTCTGTTTGGATTTGAACCCTCAGCACACTAAATCTGGATATTATTTTTTTTTTTTCCTAACTAAGCCTCACAAATGTAAAGGTTATCCATCAACCTCACTCACATCTGTAATTCCAGTGTTTTCCCTTCATTTGAATTACATGGGCTGACAAAGTAGTCAGAACTGATAACCATCCATTGGGTCTCTTTGTACAACAACCTTAAGCCATTCTCTCACTTAGGAGAAAAATTGATGTTACCTGAATATTAAGCCTTCCTCTGTGGGCCCCAAGGCCATATCGCTTTGCTGTAGAGGCATGGAGCTGGAAGTCAGTAATTTTTAATGTCTCTAGACCAAGTGGAGGACAATCTACAAAACAAAAGATTGGTTAAAATTAATTAAGGGAAAAAAAAAAAACAAAACAAAACACACAAAACAAACAAGTATTCAAAGCTCCTGGATTTCAATTTGTGCCAAATTAACCGGGGTCCTCAGCTGGTGCAAATGAGCACAGCATCACTGAAGTCAATGAGAAATGGCAGCTCTCAAATCAGTGAAGGAATGCTGATTTACTCCAGCTGAGGATCTTTTTGAGGGTCTCAGTTATTATTACTGCTTGCTATACACTTCAGTTTTTCACAGATATGCACAGTATTTCCTGTCAAGTGCTTTTCAGTACAAAAAGCCAGTAAAATGGCCTTTTATTTTTCTCTTTTTTTGGCATTTTCTTTTTCATTTCTTGTTTTGATTTTTTCCTCTCCCTGTACTCATTCCAAGCTACTGTATGAAGTTATGTTTCTAATTAAAATCTGTTCTGGAAACTTCAATCCCAGTCCCTCGCGTTGCACAATAGCATCTGTTACGGAGGTCTGGGAGGCCGGACATCCATCTCTGCAGACATAATGACTAAGCACAAAAAGGGCAATTTTGAAACAAGGGGCAATCTCTCTAAGCTCCAAAATTGTGCAAAGCCTTGAAGAACGAATAGCAGATGACATTGCTTCAGCAGCCAGCCAGCCAGCAGCACAGCAAACTAAGGCCTGGAGCTCTGGCTTTGGAAGATAAGACGCTGGAAAGAGTCTACTTTGTGATGATTAGAAAAATATATCCTACTCTGAAATGACCCCAACCACCACAGCATTTAAGCCCCTCACAATGCTTAGCATATTTATCCTCAAGATATCATGGTGAGGACCCACTCTCGGGGTTTCACAGGAGGTGAACAAAGCGCCGAGAGACGCTTTGGGAGCACCTAAGTTGTACAACAGAGCACAATTTAGGGACTCTTAAGTCAATGCCAGCTGGAATTGGAAAGTCTGCATGCGGCAAAGGTGGAAAGCAGTGTCATATTATTATTTAGATCAGGTACTTGTAAGGTTAGACTAGGTTTTGCACTGCCGTGGCCATATCACTTCTGCGTTTGGACAGAGGACAGATTTTTTTTCTGCAGTCGAGTGTGGGAGGTTTGCTGTAGCCTGCACAACAAGCTGTGACAGAGACAGGAGACAAGCACCAGCCGTGGAGCACAGGCCACATTTCCAGTCCTCAGGCCACATTTCCAGTCTCCAAACCATCCCTGCTCACCTGACAGCTGGGATCGTGGTCTCACTTGTGCCACAGTTGCTAGAGATTTGTCTAAGAGCTCACTCCTATGCCTGTATCCCACTTACATATATATTTTTTAATCTCTCGCCAAAATGTCATGTGTGTACGTACCTGAGAATCTCATCCTGGCCATGTCTAACTTTCAGGTGTAGTTTTGCATTATTGTGCGCAAACTGGCAAAACGTATGAGACTTCCTTGCTCATCCTTAGCTCTTAACAACCTAAAATCCCTCAGGAAAAATGTTACATGCTGTCAGTTCACACTAGTAGTTCTTTGTTCATCCCTAGGAAAGCTCTCACACAAATCCGGGGCCAAATATCTCCATCAGAGGCAGTGAAGACAAATGTTAAATATTAATGTATTTTCTAAAGTACCAACAGTGATCTTAGTCTTCCACGAGACAAAATGTAGACAGTTCCTCATTTCAAAGAGCTTTCAATCTAATTATCCAAAACAGAGAAGAGACAGGATGTATAAGAGAAGCCAGAAGAAGGAATAGCTCAGAGGATTTTTATTTCATTGGCTGATTGTTTTAATTGCATTTCCTCATAGAGTGTTTCATCCTTCACCATACTCCAACTGAAAGAATTCTTAGGCTCTGACAGATCTCTACTGAGTGGAAATTATATAGCTGGGAACTGTCTGCTTTTCTTTAACATGTTCAGTCCTCAATACAGGTTTGGGAATCAATCTCAGTGTAATCATGCAAATGTTTTTGCTCTTGGGTATATTTTGCTCTGTGAACAGTCTCACCATTCCCAGGCACTCAAAAGCTACCTAGAAGTACCCATGCCAGGTGTGAGCTGAAAATAAAAGCAAGCTGCTTTTTATGTATTCTCTTCATAAAATAACATTTAATTCGGTTTATTCCTAACAAGGCTAAGGGGAAATCTACAGGTACTAGTAGGAGTTAATGAAAAAAGTGGAAAATTTCCTGCAAAGGGAATAGCCACCTCCATCAGCAAGGGATGCACTGAATCTTGGCCTCTTCCAGATTGTGTGTTTCAGCCCGTTCTCCGCGACTGAACAGGGGCAAGGGCTTACGGAGCAGCCCCTGGGGCAGCCAGCGCATCGCTGCTGTGCGGGACACACAGCCACGGGATCTGCAGTCCCCTTCCTCATCACTGCTCTCTCCCGCATGGAGACCTATTTTCATGAAACCTGTAGGAAATGCATTATTTTGGAGCCTGGCAGCTGTCAGACTTGGCTGAAGTTACCTGGAGTGACATACACCTGGCAGTGTCTGTGCGAGAAGTGGGTTTGCTTTTATTCAGCCTGAAATGTCACCAACTTACTGTAAAACTGCAATATTCTTGGGTTGCCTGTGGATTTTAGGGAGGGTTTCTTAGACCACAAGATGGGTATTTAGAGGCTGAAAAAAAATTGCCCGTATATATTTGTATTATCTCTGTTTCTAGAGAAACTAAAGCCTCGTAATAGACTCAAAATCATATGGATGTCAGTTAAACACACCTGACTGCTCTTTATTTTTCAAGGACAAATTATTTGTATTCTCTGTGAATGCATCAGGATAACAGGCCAGTATTATGAAATACTCAATTTAACAGGGGCGTGATTAGGCTCTGAGAGCAGACCTGAGCTCTCTACAGTATGCTGTATAGATACCTTGGATGAAAACTGCAATACACTGTGAACAATACACTGTCCTTTCTCAGCGTGTTCAAGCCTTGCAGTATTTCAAGTGAAATCATTAGGATCCTAACTGTCAACTCAATAATATCCAGGAGTTTATTTTTTACTGCTATTTATATAAATTAGCAGGAGATCACCTAGTGTGCTTTCTCTGGAAGTGATCTAGACTTTAAACTGGGACTTCACTAACGTATCAAACCACGCAAAGATTTTTTTTTTTTTCTTTTAACTTGGTAAGAAAAATCAAGTATTTGGCTCTAATACTTGAGTGCAAATTAATGAAAAGCATTCCTTTCACAGTTGGCCCCTCTTTCTCCAGTGACCATCCCAAACCGGGAACAGAGCAGCAGGATTCTCCATAAAAGACGATTGACCTTTAGATGTTTCCATCTGTGCAGCTCTGCACAGGGATGTTCTTGGAGACCTCAAGCCTATTGTTTGCGGTAGGTTTGATGTATGGAATTTGTGCTATTTTCCACAAGAGAAGACCTTTGATTTTGCTGTTAAGTGAAATTACATCTTCTATTTATAGCCATAACATTCGATTATTAACACTTTAGGAATATTACTTTTTTCCACGAACATATGAATTCCAGCATCAACAAAGGGGTGAAAAGAGCAGCATATTAGACCAAAAAAAATCAGTCTGTAATGTACGGAGATGGTGGGAGCAAATTTTTCAGTATGGCCTCATCGGATTAACTCCAAATTACTCATTATAATGCAACAAAATCCACCTAAAATTATCATTTCACTACTGAAAAAAAATATCCTGAGTCATACTGTGAATTTATTTTTAGATAAATTTTGTTGGTGTGTGTCCCCCCTGCTTCTTAAAGCGACTAATCAAGACAACTTATTTTTGAAAAACATACAGGAAAAGAAACTGATTTATGGCATTCATAAAGACTATACTTTTTAAAGTATTGCTTTAATATATTTTATTTAACTTGAAGAAATCTTCCATGTAACAATGAAAATTGCCACACAATCAATAAGACCGACTTAATGAATCTGGAATTGGGTAGCACAAGTTATCAGAGCGGTTCATACCTTATAGATTCAGCTGGAAATGACCTAGTTATTTCCAGCCATTTCTTTAACTGGTTGGAAAAATATTCATTATAAAACACAGAAAACTCAACTATGGCTTTGGAAGACACTTAAATCCACATACTGTCTACATAACAACTTACTAGTGAAACACAGCTAGATATTTATGTTTGAGTGACTGAAAAGAGGCATTAAGCTTGCAGATGCAAGGAAGAAGCTGAGTTATGGACATTTCTCTCTTCCTGGCCCATATCCAACCATGATTTTGTGTGTGATTTGCAACCATGAATAGGTATTTACTTTAAAAACAAGCCATTAATAAGATACCTGGATCAAATTAATTAATTCCAAGACCTAAAAAGGGACAGGGCTTGGACTCAGACTTAATAATGTCTGCATTTTGAACAGTGTTCTTGTGAGGTTTCCATTTCGAAATGGCTTTCCTGTTAGCTATATCTCAGTGTCCATTATTTTCAGTTATGCTCCTACTTGCCAGACAAATGATTCGATCTCAGCTGAGGGCACCAAGGCATTTCTGATACTTCGACACCCTCAGCAATCACCTGTCCCCTGAAGTCAGGAGGGGGAAACACTTGAGAATTATTTCAGCCACAACCTCATCTCCTGAAATCTGAATTTACCAGTTATAATTCGGGGCTTGCCTATACTGTGAGCAGTACCTGAAGGAGCTACTGAGCTCCCTTCACAAACCAGCATCAAGTCAACTTGCAATCTCAGCTGGCTCTGTGCTTGGATATTAGCCCAGATTTGAAAACAGTTTCAGTCTCATGAGAGCTGTGCCCTTGTTTTACCAACTATCATGCCTAGCATAAAGGACACAGCCAGCATAAAGATGAACCAATAACCAAATTGTATTTGATACACAAGGGTCAGTCCATGGGTGAGCGCTGGGGGTACAAACCAGTCAGATTATACACAATCGACATCAATCCCACTGACCCCAACAACGACACCGCACGACCAGCAATGGGTGGGATAACTGGTGACATGCATCTCCCACAGAAGGGACGGGAGACAACTGAGTCAACAAGCCAAACACATCAGCCCAAGGAAGCCACACACTGAATCTCTGCACAGCCCGCGTTTACAAAAGCCAGACCTACCTGGAGCCCAGTCCCAGGGAGGCGGGAGGTCCTTCCCCAACAGGGAACTCTGCCCAGGGCACCCCCCTCACAGACAGACACTGCCCCTCCTGCAATGGTCCCAGCTGTTACCCCGCAGTGGGACCCCTGACCTTGGGTTACTCACTGCGGGACCCCTGGGGCTCCTTTACCCAACGGCTCTGTCTGCAAGGCCCCACCCTGAAGGGAAGCCTAAAGGGGAACTCACCCCCCTTTGGGAAGGGCTGTGGGAATCACCCAGATGTCAACCTTGATTTGGGGCTTGGGGTTGAAACCCCAGCATTTCAGCCCTACACTTGCAGCACCTTCCACTGAAACTCTAGCCAAAAAAAACACTTTCTGCAGAGCCAGCTTGGTTGTCTTTACACCTGCAGCATGCTCTGCTGCAACACTAGCTGTCCTGTATGATAAAACTGTATTAATAGGGACTCTTAGAAACATTAATTCCCGAAGTAGAAGATATACGTATGAGCAGGGCAAGGAAAACACTTCTGTTCATCTTTATTGCCTAAATTATTCATTTATTTTATTTTTTTCTGGTCTAAATAAAGATTGTCAGATAAGCACAGATTGCCTTTATAGCTCTTGTATCTAATAAGGATGCATTTAGGAAATCATTCTGTACTGTTCTTTTGGAGGCACAGCAGACAAACGATTGCTTTATTTAAAGAATATTTTCCATCAATTTAGGAATATGTTCAGTTTTTCAAATGGAAAGAAAAAAAAAAAAGCATCATGTTTCCTCTTCACTTATATTTTTAATATATTATAAGCCATACCTATAATCCCTTTCAATTCCCACAAGTCTGTTCTTGTCTAACTCATCATGCACAGTGATACTCAGATCTGGAAATGGAGAAATATCAGCATTGAGCAGTCTGATGGTCTCCTTGACATTTGGAGGCAGAATGTACTCTGGCTATTTATTTTTTATGATTCTAAATGTGTTTAAGCTCCAGGAGTTTTGTCATTTTTAAATACGTAAGAATCCCTTTGCACTTCAAAACGTTTGTTACACTACAGAGATAGAGAAGTTCAGAGAAGACAAGAGGAGGTCAAGGCAGTGCTGATGGTGAGTTAACACAGAATTTTCTCTATGCAAAGAATAGTTTAGTGCCAGGATTTTTTGGTTTTGCTGTTGGTATCTGTAGCTTTGCATTTGGGGCTTGAGCTTCCACCAACAAAGTCAATAGACATCACTGTGATAAATAAGAAGACCTCATCACCCTTCCATTGTATCTGATTTCTTTAAGTTCTGCGTTTTCCACCAAAAGATATAATTTT